GTGCCTCGCTACTAGTAACAAGAAGCTAGTAGTAACAAGTGCCACGCAGCATTCAAGTACTTTCTTCGATTCAGGTCACAGCTCGACTGCTTGCTGATCCATCCGATCAGTCTCACCTGAGGTGGAACTCATCCACCCTTAGGAGTCACACAAGCTTGGTCCTGGCGTTCAGGATGCCCCTCATGCTTCCAGATCCTGGTGCATTCCCAGGGTCAAGGAAGTTCACTGTGACTCCCGCAAGACATCAAGCGTCTAAGAGTCGAAAGTCATCGAAAGTCTAACCCGAGTCTGCGTACGCGCGAGCCGAGTCTACACACAACTATGCCGAGCCTAGCACTAAGCCTTCATCCAGACTCATCCAGGTTCAGGTTGTAAGTTACATCAGATGCCCAAATTCTTGCAGTCTCCTTCACTGCACCTGATCGGACATCCAGGCCGTCAGCGTCAGCGTCAGACTTCGAGCTCCAGCAGCTCGTCACTGGGGCAGCTGTCATCGCTGGGCACGCTGCCACCGACCACCTCGTCACGGCGGTGGCAACGCGGACGGCACGGTTCGGAGAAGAACTCCTTTTCAGGGACTAAAGTGATCCAATTGTGTCCAGTTGTATGAGGGAACGGGTTGTGGGTCCACATGAAGATGCCGACCTAGACCTAGCCATACCAGGCGGCTGGCAGTCCGGACAACTGCTCGAAACAACGAGGCCGCCTTCCGCCATATACCACCCCCCTTCCTCCCGGCCTCCGCTGCTGCCTGCGCCCAACTGTCTCCCTGCTGGTTGCCTGAGAGGAGCTTCGAGCGAGGCGGTTCTTCTTGTTCTTCAGCGTCGGCACATCGCAAGTCAGTCGTCAACCCGGTCATTCAAGCCACAGTCGTCGAGATAGCAAAGAATCAGATGTCTTCAAAAGATGTCTCTTTGGGATGCGCTTCTCTTGGATTTGTAGTTGGTTTCGTTTCTCTTTTGAATTTGGTCTAAACCCATTGGAGAGCGACGTCCGCCGGTTCTTCTTAAAAAAACCATCAGGGGCAGAGAACCACGAGGCGTTTTCGCACCAACCTGCGCATCGGGACGCTCATGCCAAAGCATGCCAAAGCGCGTTTCTGCTTGCGGCACCAAACGGGGAACTCCTTCCACTGGGTGGCTTCCGCCTTCGCAGTGCTCGCCAGCCTTGGGTGCAGATCTTGGCAGGCAAAAACGACCTCCATCCAAATCCTTCCCACACCCGGGTCGAACACACGCCCGCAACGCAGGTGGGTGGTGAAAGGACACGAGTCACCTCCGGTCGAAGCATGGAGACCCCACCTCCCTGAGGGCCGAAACAGGGGGCGAAACGGGCGCGGCCGTGGTTCTGATCGTCCAAGGCTTCCGGTGGTGCAGAGGCCTGATGGTGTGTGCCCCGAGTCACCTGCATTAGTAGCTTCTTGTTTCTAGTAGTATGGCCAGGAGCCCCGTTCGTAGCGTCCTTGCTCCTAGTAGCGATGCCAGGAGCCCCTAGTAGCGTCCTTGTTCCTAGTAATGGATGTCTCTTTTTGCAAAAAGCGGCTGTTTGCTCCCCAGCTCGTAGAGGCCGAAGGTCATCTGATGATCTCCAGGGCCTTTGTAGTACGAGACCTGGAACGCTCGCTGTCATGCTCTAGGTTTCAGGGCACTGGGTCGCTTCTAGTGCTATGCAGTTCTGTTGGTATTCTTGGGAGCTCTTGTTGAGCGAGAGGGATAACAAGCCTAAAGCATAACCTGTCACTTCCCAACGCAAACAAACAACCAAACAAACAAACAAACAACCAAACAAACAAACAAAACTAACTAACTAACTAACTAACTAACTAACAAACTAACTCACTGACTGACTGACTGATTGACTGACTGACTAACTAAAAAAAACTAAACTAAACCAAACTAATTAACAAAAAAAAACACGAACAAAACAACACAATACAAACAAAACAGTAACACACACGCAAACATAACAATTATACTTAGGCTTCAAACTGTATGTCTTTATATAAATCTGGAGCAAGACTCCAAATAGGCGGCGTGAGAGACGCTCTTCCGCAAGGGAGCCCTGTGCTCTTGCAGCAGAGGTGATTGGAGAAGAATTGATGTTGAAAAGAATAACGAGACGGACAGGTGGTCCAAGCTGGAGTGTGGAAGCAATAGCAATGGTCAGGCCCCGAGTTGGAACGGGAGACAGTCCCAGCCGAGCATGTGAGCATGTCCGATGTCCAAGTCCGGAATGAAGGTCCAAAGATGATCTGTTTCTGAACCACCTCACGTCACCAGGGAGGTTATAAGGGTGATGCATCAAGAGCCAGGTTTCTCTTCCAGCAGGTGCATTTGAAGAATCTACCTCTTGAATCCTCTTGACAGTAGCTACTTAGCTTCGTTCGTAGCGTCCGGCCAGGGTCGCCGAACTCGTGGCGTCGCTCGCCTGGAACTCGAAGATGGAAACGCCTCCCGGCCCCGAACAGGCAGACCGAACCAGGACCGATCCAACCGGTTCCGTGAAAAACACGGCATCACATAGGGAAGCGGCTCCGTCAACACGAAGAAAAAGAGCACTGCAGCACGTGTTTCCGACCGAAAGCATGCGGACCGGATCCGACCAAAGGGTGAAACAACATGAAACCACTCATCCTCAATTAACGTGGTGATGAAACTGAGCGATCAAGTGCATCCTGTCTTCAACTCACAGCTTTGGAGACCACATGGATGCAAAGGTTTTGCCATCCCTGAAAAGATCTTCGCAACCATCCATCCACACCTGTGATCACCCCAAACCGTCACGTCCAGGTCGGTTTCCGCGTCGGTTGACGCGCGTTCGTGCCGGAACGTCACCCGGGTCGAAGCGCGGGCGGCCTCGCAGCGGTGCACCTGCAGCGTCGCAGCTGGCGCCTTGCTGCACCCAGGAGCTCAGCTTCGACCAATCCTGCGCCAGAGCACAGACACATCCATCCAGTGGATCCTGGGGCGGGTATGATATTCGCCCAACGTGCTTTCGCAAGAATCCAGGTGAGCTTTTCTTTGCCTGCTCCTCACTCCCCACAAACAAGAACACTGCTAACTTTCTATAACACGAGTTGTGGGGCGGGTGCACTCCTCCTTGAAGTCTGCCACCTTGCTGTCCGGCATCGACTGATACCATGCCTGCCGTGCATTGCCGCGAATCGAGGAGATGTTCCGCGCTGGAGAAAAAGAAAGACACTAATAGTACATGAAAGAACTATAGGTCCCGGAGATCGCTGGATGGTCACCATCACGAAGTATGAAAAAAATCGTCCGGAAATCATCAGTATGATGACAAACCAACCAATTGGTAGAGTTGATTCTGAGGAGGGCATAGCTGGCGGGATGTCTTTGGACTTCCCACACGGGGAGCCACATGAGTTATCTCAACATCCTGGTTGAGTGCCTTGTACTCACCAGCCCAGATCGGCAGACCGGAGAGGGGTGTAGCTTTCAGAGGCTGGAGCACCTGCTTGCAGATCACATCCTCGGCTGTGGCATGGCGCACGCTTTTGGCGCACACCGGGAGGTTCCGAAGTTCCCCCTGTGAATCTCTCAGAGATTAAATCCAATATGGCATGGATCTGCGTGATCCCTCCAAAGTTGAAACACTGGGGCTTCAGAAACAACATATCTGTGATCAATCTTAAGAGCGAGCCGTGACTTCTGAATCCGGAAAAGGCGGATCCATTTCTCTGAAGTCTCCAGCTTGTTACACACCCACGGAAGTTACCACAACCCCAAAGCCCCGACATCACTGGCACCTCACGTGGAACATTTTCTGAGGTCATTCTCCTCTCACCCTTCCCAAAGACACACAATCTCGCACACCCCATCGACCCCATACTCCACCCCCGGCCGATTTTCTCTCCCCTCTCCCACCTTCCGAACAGCCGGGTCGCAGAGGTATCTTGGGTGTTGAAGCCCAAGAGCCAGCGGTTCTGCAGCGCGCTCTTCAAGTCATGCCGCGGATCGTAGCCGAAGAAGTCCGGCTTCAGCGCGCCCTCGTCCGGTCGCCGGTCGCGATGGGGCCCGGAAGAAGGGAAGCCGGAGAAGCACGAAGGCGAAGGAAGGCTTGTGGGGGGTTGGATGGGTTCCATCACCCGGCAGGATGATTCCCCTTAGATCGATCCCCTTTAAAGTGTTGCCTTTTTTGGAAAAAATAAACATTTAGGCGGAGAATCGGTAGAAGTCCAGAAAACACTGAATTGTTGGCCTCCCTGGTTTCCGGGAAAAGGAGCCTAAGGAGGAGAGGAAAATGACTGGATGAATCCCAAACTCAGATCAACTCAGCACTCAATTCCCCCACATTTAGATCAACAAACCCCTGGTCCCCACTTGGCTGCCCAAAGCACCACCACGAAATCGTACATGAAACCCAAGGCTGCCAGCGAGCCCACCTGAGCCTCGGTTTTTGATCGGCAAAAGGCTGCGGAGATCGGTGGTGGGCAAATTGGGTTGGGTGAGTTAGCCTTAGATCACATGGCCTGGAATTTGAGAATCAAGGTCCATGGTACTTTTGGAGAACGGTAGCAAGAACTCTGAGCCTCCCAGAATGACTCAAATGATGTCGAGGGCTTCTGGAAATGGAGAAAAACCTGCATTTCAATCCACACCCTCCGTGCCTCTCCGGCCTTGTTGCCTGGCATCGAGTGAAGACACCGAGTGAAGCCGCCGAGCAAACGGCCGAAAAAGGTCATGACTCCCTGCAAGTTTCATTTGGGTCCCAACCTGTACCCCTGCGGTCTTGCAGCGAGCGGCTCTATACCTCTGGTGCAATCAAAACTCTGGTCCAAGCAAAAGCGTTCCGTAGGTCGATGGAAAGATGACGTTCCTTGATGAGGTGGAGTGGGCATGTTGAAGAAGTGCACTCCACAGCTGCATTTCTTGAGCCAATCCCAACTAAATGGTGCTACCCGTGTGTCATTTTGAAGGATTCTGCACTTTAACACCACTGTTGGAGGTCATCGTGAAGCTTATAAAGTTTCTATTTTTGACGCGGGGTGCCCAAGTGAACTGGGGCGCCAAGTGTCAATCATGTATCTCTTGCGTGCCTTCAATTTTTGACGCATACCAAGATGAAGTCTATTTCCCAGACTTTGCCTTCATTGCTGAAAAAGCATCACTGCTGAAAAGCACACCAAAATATCCATTTGGTATATGGACAATATGGTGCGCTTATAGTAGGGAAAAGAATCAAGAAAAATCGCTAAGTCACTTGTCAGGTACCCTTGTTACTAGCACACTTGTCAGGCACTACAACCACTGTCACTAAGGCACTTGTCAGGCACCTCAACCTCTGTCACTAAGGCACTTGGCAGGTACCTGCTGCAAAGCAACCGAAAAGCACCAAATGCGTGAAGGCAAACAAGCGGGAGCTTCCTTAATCTTTGCATACACTATGCGTGAGATGTCGGGCACGATTCTCATCGGTAGCACCCCTCCGTATTGAAGCTACAGTTAACCTATAGGTAACTTATAAGTTCCGCGCGTTTTTTCACTTGTGGGAAAACGTGTTTTGCAGGCACCAATGCCTTTGGCACCAGTGCCACTGCCTGAGTCAAAATCACTATCTTGTCTGGATCATGTTCTTTCAAGCATCTTCCTTCTGGCATCAGAGATCTTGAGATAGCAAAGTTACAAGCTGGCGGAAGTCAATTCCGCCTCGCCTTGGCAGCAGCCTCCCGCTGACGGTGCAGGGCTTTGAGGAACTCCCTTCCTCGCCTGAGGCGCCAGATATTCGTCGAATTCTGTTCTCAAAGTCAGTTTTGCATTTTACGCCAGGCCACGGCTTCGTCGAGCCAGCTCGCTCCGGGCAACTTTGGCCCAGAAGCTTTCCACGGTGATGATGTTCATTGTCTATTTGACAAGGATGTCATTGCTTAAACGATGTTATATAGTGCATCGAGTAAACCTTCCGAAGCTCTGCGAAGGTTTCTGGGTTTTTCTTGCGGCTATTTTTGAAACCCCAGAATTCAGGTAGAGGCTAAGACCCCAAAAAAAATTAAAAAAAACATACTGAATTGCAATTTTTTTGCGTGGTTCTACGTCCTAGCTGGCCCTGGTTCCCAAACGACGTACTCAAATGAGGGCCACAATGCAAATAGCGCCCACGAAGGTAATTGAATTTTGAATCATGTTGCCCTTTATATGTGTTTTCAAAAAACATGTTCGCAACTTTGCTGTCTCTTTGTATTGTGACAAAAAAAGCGAAGGCAATCGGGCCGCAATATCAACAAGTACCCTCGTCGACGCGTTGCGGATCGTTTTTTTGGTATGTTTGGTAGTTTTTTTTGCGGGACGTATGTTTGTTTCGTTTGTCTTTTTTTGGCTGTTGTGTTTTTTGTCTGTTTGTACTTTTTGGTGTAGTTTGTGTATGTTTTGTATTTTTGTCTGTTTTTGTATTTTGTATTTTTGTTTTTCGCGGGTCGTATTGTTGTATTCTTTTGGTGGCTGTATTTTTCATATTTTTGTGCTTGTGAAAAAGGCAAAAAGAAGGTCGTATTTTTTCGTACTTTAAAAAAATCAGCCTCGAACTGCGAACCGGCGCCGGCAAAGTTTCAACCCCGAGAGGCTGCTCCAAAAGACAAGGGAGCCAACTTCCCATCCCACCCATATCAGCGTGTATCAAGTTGCAATTTCCTTGAATATTGCTTGCAGTCTGGCATATTGTTTAAGGGTTGTATCTTTATAAATACAAGTCAACAGTGTGTTTTAAAAATACAACTGGGGAATTTGTATTCTCCAGTCGTATTTCTTGTATTGATTGAATCGTTTAGTTGTTTTATCACCTATAGACTATAGACTGTACCTGGAACCGGGGAACCAAGGCTAGCTAGTTTTCCACAAAGTTAATAGAATAGCGCAAAGCCCTCTCTGTACACTACCCTGTGATCTTGAACATTGAACCCTCTCTCCCTCTGGCCGCCTTCGCGGCCATCTTCCTGGCCACGTGGTCCTTGCGGCGCCTTTCCCTTCTCGCACCGACTGGGTTGCCTTGGGCCTGCAGACATGGCGACAAACAAAAGTGCAAGCGCTCATTTCTAGTGATGGTGTGTGCCTTGCAATAGGGCTGGATAGTTGTAGTAGATGAGAACATGTCAAGTACCACTTGAGGCGCCACTTCCTGGACAGCTGGACGACACGGCGCTCATTGTAATGATGTGGTCGGAAACGATGGAAAAAGTCAATCCCGTCTTCGCGCACCAGGAAAACGTCAACCGCAAGCATTGCGCCGAGGCGCGCGAAGAACGCTGACAAGAATGGGCGAACGATCAAAACAGTATATGGGGTAGATGGAGGTCATCGTGTGGAATAGGTGGTTGTCACAAAACGTTTAAACACAGCAACGGTGTATATGGACGAGAGGTTTGAGGGCTCGGGTGATGATGTGGTAAAGAACAAGAAGGGAAGGCAGAGGAGGGGCCAGTTCACTCATCATGGAAGAGCGCGTTGCAAAACGGAAGTGAAAATGCGCCTCAGCCGGGGGCCTGCGGGCAGGAGTCCGTCGAAACGGCTCCTCGCACGGCAGCCAGTGCGTCTGAAGGTTACAGTTGTTTCAATATAATCTGTTCTCCTCATCAGGCGTCACAGTGAGCCACCCGATGGGTGTGCTCACGGTGAGCTTGTGCGCGCACAACTTGGCGCGAAAGTTGCGCAAGCAAGCCCATGTAGGTGCCTGGCACATTGAGACAAAACGCCAACAACGTATCTCAGCCAATATCAAGAACATTCGGGAAGAGTCTTTAAAAAGGACCAAAAATGGAACTCATGAACCTGATTTCAACACTTTCCGAGCACACTCACATCCACCAAAACCGCAATTTAGCAGCTAAAACTTGTCACGAAAACACAGCTTCGACAGCAACATCCAACACCTCAAACATACGCCCTCTGAAGCCAATCCTCCTCTTACAGCGAAGGAACCTGAGGACCTCACAAAATCACAAGAATTCCCACACGTCATGCGTCCATCCAAAACTTCCTCGAAAAGCTTCCACTACCCCAGACCCCCCAAAGTTAAGCAAGAACCCTTCGTTACGCATTCGGGAGAAAACCGACTTCGGGGTGTCTCCGTTAGCAACAAAAAGATGAAGCCGTCGTTAGTGACGCAAGTCAACCGCACTCCCGAAAAATGTAGATCGTTGCATCACCATGGGCCCGTTACCTTGTCAACACAATCCCAGATGTTGGTTTTGGCACTGAAATTGTCACACATTATTGGATAGCCTCCCTTCTAATCGAACTGCATTAGTCCCGCCTGTTTGCCTTTGGGCATTCTGTGCCTTTCGGCTGCTTTGCAACAGGTACCTGCCAAGTGCCTTAGTGACGAGGTTGAGGTGCCTGACAAGTGCCTTAGTGACAAAGGTACCTCACAAGTGCCTTAGTGAGAGAGGTTGAGGTGTCTGACAAGCCTTGGTGACCTTACTGATGTTTCATTTTGCAGCGTTTTCTGAACTCTGAAACGCAGATTTCGTGGCGAGCGCAGCACTTTGTGAGCTCTCAAGCGCAGATTTCGTGGCACGGGCAGCACTTTGTGAGGTTTCAAGCGCAGGTTTCGTGGCAGGGGCAGCACTTTGTGAACAGTGAAAGTGCATATTTCGTGGCAGGCGCAGCGCTTTATGAGCTTTGAAGCGCAGATTTCGTGGAAAGGGCAGCATTTGCTGAACTCTGAAGTGCACATTTCGTGGCAGGGGCAGCATTTTCTGAACTCTGAAGTACCGGGTTCTTGGCAGGGGCCACACTTTGTGAGCTCTGAAGTGCAGATTTCGGGCAAGCGCAGCACTTTGGAAGCACGAGTCACGCTCAGGGTCAGGGGTCTCAAGGTTAGAGGGACCGACGTTGAATCACGAATCACGAATCACGCTCAGGGTCAGGGGTCTCAAGGTTAGAGGGACCGACGACGAATCATGAATCACGAATCACGAGTCACGCTCAGGGTCAGGGGTCTCAAGGTTCGAATAATGAATCACGAGTCACGAATCACGCTCAGGGTCAGGGGTCTGAAGGTTAGAGGGGATTTCGTGGCAGGTGCAGCACTTTGTGAACCTGAAGCGCAGATTTCGTGGCAGGGGGCAGCACTTGGTTGACCCTAAAGTGCAGGTTTCGTGGCAGGTGCAGCGCTTCGTGAGCCCTCAAGTGCAGATTTCGGCAGGGAAGCATTTTGCGAACTCTGAACTGCAGATTTCGTGGCAGGTGCAGCACTTTGTGAGCTCTCAAGTGCAGATTTTGTTCTAGGGGCAGCATTTTCTGAACTCTGAAGGGCAGATTTCGTGGCCAGCGCAGCACTTTGTGAACTCTCAAGCGCAGATTTCGTGGCAGGGGCAGCACTCTGTGAACTGTGAAAGTGCATATTTCGTGGCAGGCGCAGCACTTTGTGAGCTCTCAAGTGCAGATTTCGTGGAAAGGGCAGCATTTGCTGAATTCTGAAGTGCACATTTCGTGGCAGGGGCAGCATTTTCTGAACTCTGAAGTACCGACTTCGTGGCAGGGGCCACACATTGTGAGCTCTGAAGTGCAGATTTCGTGGCAAGTGCAGCACTTTGGAAGCACGAGTCACGCTCAGGGTCAGGGGTCTCAAGGTTCGAGGGACGGAGCACGAATCACGAATCACGAATCACGTCTCCAGGTGAGAGGGGCAGACGACGAACTCCGGGCTAGGTTTGAGGGACAGACGAAGATTCTCGAGCTCGATATTCCTGCATCTTCCTCAGGCTGTCATATTCAGGGAGAACAACTACATACACCAAGTCGCCCAACTCCAACTCCAGCTTCGAAGCAGTCTCATTCTCAGCACCCCACTGGAAGGCATCTGTGGACTCCACCTGGGCGTGGTCCCAGAGCTTGAGGTTTATCTTGTCGCTTGTGGCGGATGCAACCACATAGCGGCGGCCGATCTGCCACAAAGATGGCGTGCCTTGGGAGCCCTGTCCAATGGCTCCCCTGAGCTGCACGAAGGCCTGGTCCTCCAACTTTGCAACCCAAACTGGGCAATGCTTGATGGTGGTCTGCACCTGCGTGAAATCGCCCCAAATTTGGAAGCGGCCGTGTGACATGGAACTGCCCACCTGCCAACACAGTGGCCTTCAATGGCCCCAGCGTACATGTCGCACAGGGCATTGCGGTGGATCCACGCCCGGCACGTGCAGAGCATGTTCTGCTCAGACCACGAATCATGAATCACGAATCACGAAGCGGATCACGAATCACGAAACGAATCACGAATCACGAATCACGAAACGAATCACGAATCACGCGGCTGGAGGAGGGAAATCAATTTCAGAAGTTAGTTTTTGAATTCGACTTGCCTTTGCAAAGCTTTCTAAAAGGGAAAAACAATTGGAAAAATATAGGTTTATTTAAAAATGCCTTTGAAAAGGCTTTTTCCAAGTGAAAATCAATTGAAAATACATTTTTTAAATTAAAATTGCCTTGGAAAAGGCATGTTCAAAGGAAAATACATTGGATTGTTTCAATTAAAATTGCCTTTGAAAAGGCTGTTTCAAAGGGAAAATCAATTAGGAAAATCTTTTTGAAATTAAGATTGCCTTGGACAAGGCATTTTCAAAGGGAAAATCATTTTGTATTTTTTCAATTAAACTTGCCCTTGAAAAGGTTTTGAAAAGGTACAATCAATTGGTTTTTTCCCGAATGCGTAGCGAAGGGTTCTCGTTTAACTCTGGGGGTCTGGGGGTAGAGCCTTGTTCGCGATTCGCGACCCGTTGTTTCTATGTTCGCAACCGTCCGCAACCGTCTGCAACCGTTGGCAACCGGACGCAGTAGAGCGCTAAGGCGCTGCCATTGGGGGAAGCTTTTGGAGAGGGTTTCCGATGGAAACGTGACGTGTCAGATTCGTGTGAAATAGCGAGGAATCGTGTGGAAATGTAAGATGTTGAAGTGTGGAGGATGATATCACTGCGCAGGCGCAGCGTTTTGTGAGATCTGCAGTTTGCTGCGCAGTTCCATTGGGATTAGTGTTTGGAGAGTTGTGTTTTTGGGGTGTTGGATGTCGCCGTGCCATTGGGATTTGCGTTTCAGGGTGTGGCATCGAAGCTCTGTTTTCGTGACAAGTCTCAGCTGAAATGGGGATTTTGGTGGGTGGGAGTGTGCTCAGAACGGGTCGAAATCATTCCAAACGTGTGGTGTGGTGCAAATTTTGTTGAAGCTCACATGAGATGATATTGTCACTTTTCGTGGCAGGCGCAGTACTTTGTGCGGGTTTTGAGGTGTGGAAGTGCGATTTTCGTGGCAGGCGCAGTACTTAAGCGCGTTAGACGTTTGGACGCGGAAAGATTCGTGGTAGGCGCAGGGAATTGTGAGTTGTGGTAGAGGTGACTGTCGCTGTCACATTGGGATTGGCGTGTGAGCGGGTGTTGTTTGGAGGGGCTGGAATCGCGAAATTGCTTGGCGGGGCTGCGTGATGTGTGTGCTCCGATGGGTGTTTCCGCTTGACTTTTGGAAGAAGTCTCGTACGAAACGCTCGTTTTGCAGACTTTGACATGTGAGTTTTTGAGCAAGTCTCGTACGAAACGCTCGTTTTGGGGACTTGACGTGTGACTTTTGGAGGAAGTCTCGTACGAAACGCTCGTTTTGGAGACTTGACGTGTGACTTTTGGAGGAAGTCTCGTACGAAACGCTCGTCTTGCAGCCTCGAAGCGTGTGTCCTACAAGACTGTCCCAGATAGAGTGTCCCACAAGAGTGTCCCGTATGAGTGTCCCACAAGACTGTCCCGCAACCGTGTCCCACAAGAGTGTCTCACAAGAGTGTCCCTCAAGAGTGTCCCGCAAGAGTGTCCTATAAGAGTGTCCCACAAGAGATTTGTAGGAGTGTCCCACAAGAGTGTCCTACAAGAGTGTCCCACAAGAGTGCCCTACAAGAGTGTCCCACAAGAGTGTCTCACAAGAGTGTCCCGCAAGAGTGTCCTGAGTAGCCCCCAAGAGTGTCCCACAAGAGTGTCCTTTAGGAGTGTCCCACAAGAGTGTCCTACAAAAGTGCCCCGTAAGAG